TCTAGCCCCCGATTCCAAGCCCCCAGCACCTACGGACAAACCCCAGCACAATCCCCAAGGCGACATTCCCCAGCAGCATTTCTCACCGAAGCAGCCCCAGCCCGTCAGCGGCAGCTCCAGATCTCAAGCACCAGCGCCTCAGCTCCTACAACCAAAACACAGCCCCGGAGACACAGCCCCCTAATCCGTTAGGCCACACCACCCCAGGCCCCCAGTCGCATCCCCAGCACCAGCAACCCCAAAACAGGCTCCCAAGCCCCAACACCTTCCGCTCCCTGCAGACCCCTGACTGTCCAGCGCCTGGGATGTATTCCTGATCTGAAAGACAAAGAGAAAATGTAATTTGTTGTTGTTGCTGTCAATCAGTCAGTGTGTGTGTCGCTTCCTGTCAGTGTGTGAGACTGTCTTCTCTCTCTCTCTCTGTACTTCTCTGTCTGTTTCGGTGTGAGTCTACATGTGTCTGTGCGTGTGTCTCTTTGTGTGTCTGTGTGTGTGCGTGTGTGTCTGTCGGTGTCTGTGTGTCTTGTATATGAGTGTGAGTGTGTGTGTGGGTGGAGACGTGGAGGTGTAGACACACACCTGGCTTTACCAGGCCTCAGTGGCCTAGAGCAGACATTGTGTGGTTTCTGGGCCTGTGACAGTCATGTTGTGGGTTGGGGTAAATCCTCAAATCACATCACTTTCAGAAACTTTCTGTTTCCATCTAGTTGCTTTGGCTCTCTCTCTGTTTGTCTGTGTGGATAAATGTATCTCTATCTCTGAGACTGTGTCTCGCTGTATCTCTCTCTATTCCTGTTCTTCTGGATCAGTGTTTATCTCTCTCTCTTTCCTCTGTATATCTCTGTAACTCCTTTGTGTTTGTGTGTGTCTCTGTCTGCCTGTTAGTGTCTGTGTTTGGGCATCTCTGTACCTCTCCTTCTCTCACTCTCGCTCTGCCTATGCTTGCATCTCTGTATCTCTCTCTCTCTCTCCCCCTGTGATTATCTGTATATGCGCATCTATGTATTTCTCTGTCTGAGCGTGTGTGATTCTCTGTCGAGTGAGTGTGTGTGTGAAAGTGTTCATCTCGCTCTCTCTGTCTGTGTCAGTATTGTTTCAGTCAGATATTGGTTAATGAGTCTCACTGAGGCCCAGAGAGGAAACGGTGTGCTTGTGGAAACGCTGCAGTTTCTATTTTAGTAAAGATATAAACTGCAGGTCCGGAAAGTTTCATTAACGCCCTCTTTTCGGGGACACAAGTGAACTTAATACAACACGGTTTTGCAGCTCAAACTGATAGGATTTACACCAAAACTACATTCTCAACCTACCGTTTGTCAGTGAAACAAACGGCCCCAGTTTGAGCTGTTGCTATGTGTTGATGGTATATCTGAGCTGAGTTTGATTTCCATATTGTTTTTGCCCTTTGCCCTCGAGCTGTGACTGTCAGCTGCAGAGACGGACAAGATGTTGTGAGTTCAGCTCAGCACATCCCCTGTGGTTAGTTACCCCAGCGCCTGGTTTCCTGTCTTTTTGTATAAACAGCGAGTCAGTTGCAGTAAAAGAAGCCGGGGCTTTTGGTGTTGACTCAAAACCCTCTGACTGCTCACGGTGGCCAATTTTGCAGTAGGGAAAGGCATTGGCAACACTGTGTTATCTACCTGTCCCGGACTGTATGTGATATAAGCAGCAATAAAGCGTATCCATATATCTCTGTCTGTGTTTGGGGGTGCACCTCGCTGTACTGTCTGGCTGTCAGTGTATGTATATGTATGTGTATTTGCGTTGACGTCTGCATCACTCTCTCTGTCTCTGCCTTTGCGTATGCAAATTATTTGGCCATCAAATGTCCTTTATGGAGGTTCAGGTGTCTAAAAATGACCCAGCTCTGTATTGTGATGGCAGGAGGTGGGCTTCTGTAAAGGTGATAACTGGATCGCGGGGGTTCGTCCTCCAAACCAACCAGGTGTTTCAGCACATTGTTAGAAAATGGAGCTAACCTGCGTTCAGAGAGTATCTCATGTCAGCAGAAGCCAAGCAGGCAGAGGCTATGTAGATTAGCTATTCTGCAGCAGAACCAGAATGTGAACATCAGAAACTCAGAGAGAGAGAGGGAGACAGAGAGAGAGAGAGGCCAGGAGGCGGGAATTCACCCCCGTCAAAAACTGAACATGGATCAGCAGGAAAGTAGGCTCTGGGCATCAATTACCTCAACGCCATTTACTCCAATATTTAACCTGAGCACCAGTTCACTTTACATCTGCAAATTTGTGCAGTCGTGAAGCTTACAACAACAACAACTTGCATTCACACAGCGGCCTTCCCGCGATGTAATACACCCGATCCCTTAAGAGGTTCGGAGTCTGATCTCGAACCAGGGGAAGAGGAAGGGAGTAGCTGACGTTCAGCACGATCATGAGTAAGGCCTTTACGAAGCATTTGAAGGTAGGGAGTGAGGCGAAGAGGCCAAGTGATGATGGAAGAGATTTAAAGAATTTCGCAGTGCAGTGACTGAAGGTGCAGCCACTGACGGTGGAATGGAGGGCACTGGGGACAAATTGGAGGACGGCACCTGCCACGTGGAGGTATGCGGTGGTAGGGTGGGCAGTGAGTATAGCAGAGAGGTGGGAGTGGGGGGGGAGGGGGGGAATTAAGTAATTTGGAAGCGAATGGGAGGGTTTGGAAGTCGAAGATGAACGCTCAGTGATTGGACTCTCGCCTCGCAATCGAGAGGGCCTGAGTTTGATTCCCGGAAAGGGCAAAAGTTTCCTTACACCACACACACACATACACACACACACACTCACACACACACATAGTCACACAAACACACACAGTCACACAAACACACATACACTCTCACACACACAGAAACACACACACCCACACACAAACACACATACTCACACACACACAAACACACATACTCACACACACACATCGTCACACACACCCCAAACACACACACTCACATACAAACACACATAATCACACACACACAAACACACATAATCACACAACACCCACACACACATCATCACACACACACACGCATACTCACACACACACACACATACTCACACACACGCGCATGCACACACACATACACACACGCACACATACTTGCACACACACTCCCACACACACACATAAACACACATACTCACAAACACACAAGCACGCATAATCACAAACAACCACACACACATCGTCTCACACACACGCCTACACACACGCATACATACTCACACACACGCATGACACACACACAGACATACACACACACATATCACACACACATTCTTGCACACACACACTCCCACACATACATAAACACACATACTCACACAGACACAAGCACACACAATCACAAAAATCCACACACACATCGTCACACACATACGTACACGCACGCATACTCACATACATACATACTCACACACACGCATGCACACACACACACACATACACACACACACATACTTACATACACACACTCCCACACACACGCATACACACACACACATACTTACACACACAAACACATTCCCTCACACATACACACACACATATTCACACACACAAACACACGCTAACGCACCTATGTTTGTATTGTAATGAATAATAATAATCCTTGTATTTGATATTCACCTCATCACGTCTTCTCTGTGTCTTAAAGCGCTTCACAGCTTATAAAGTATTTGACTATATTTCTGGGCAAAATGCGGCAGTTAGTTGCGCACAGCAGTGACCCAATAAACATTTTTATGTACTATGCAGTTAATAAATGCATAGCACCCACATCTGATGGAAAGTATGTCTATTCTACAACTCCATCACTTGTTCACAATCTTTTATCGAACAGTGAGTAGGAATCTGCTTGTCAATCGATTGGTGTAACCTGCTTTCTGAGGGTAATAATCATTTCCGTCTCTGCGTGTCTGTCTGTATCTCCCTCTACTTCTGTGTATCAGTATTTCTCTCACTCTCTCTCTATCTCTGTCTGTGCATCTTTCTTATATGTATATTTGAATTTGTCTCCTTGTGTCTGTGTGTCGGTATCAGTGTCTCTGTTTCAGTTTAAATGTGTTACTCTCTGTCTCTTTATGCGTGTGTGTGTCTCTGTATCATTCTTTATCCTTGTCTGTCTGGGAAGGTAGTGTGTGTGTAGGGAAGGCAGTTCTGTGTGAGTAGGGAGGTCAGTGTGTGTGTTTGTGTGTGTAGGGAGGGCAGTGTGTGTGTGTGTGTAGGGATGGCAGTGTGCATGTGTGTGTGTAGGGACGGCAGTGTATGTGTGTGTGTGTGTTTGTAGGGAGGGCAATGGCCACGCTCTTAGCTCTACCTGTCCTGGCTGAATATGTGATTGTCTGTGTTTGTGTGCAGGGAGGGCAATGTGTGTGCGTCTGTGTGTGTGTGTAAAAGGAGGGCAGAATATATGTGGGTGTGTAAGTGTGTGGAGTGGGGATGGGGGGGTGGCTCGGGGGAGAGTCGGGAGGGCAGTGCTCACACTGTTTGCTCACCCTGTCCAGGGCTGTGTGTCACTCCAGCAGCATTAAATCATCCGCTCCTGACAATCGGCTGCTAGTTTCTATCAGGAGGTTCATATGGCAGCCCGAGGCCCAACACAGCTCGAGAGTCATTTCTAACATCGCCCCCACCCTCCCCACTACCCGAGTGTGTCTGACACACACATAAGCCCATCACGGTGATCAGCCGGGTGTCTGATAAATGTGGGAAACTATCAACTTTCTTGGGAATATCCAACTCAAGCTGAGAATTCCATATGTTCCACCCACATCAATGCAAATCCCAGAGATAGATTGTTGGAATGGGATGTGCTCTCTCTCTCTCTCTCTCTCTCCCTGGAGGGATGCTTTCTGCTCACTTTATTCCGGACAGTATAAGGCATAGATTGGCAAGAGTCAAGGCTCGGGGACCAAAGATTATGTTCTGGGTTAACTGCTGGAGTCTAAATGTGGGGGTTGGGAGGGTTGTGATATGGTGGGCGGTGGTGGGGGTGTTGTGGCGGGTAGCAGGTGTCTAAGACACACCCAGGTCTGTACTGTGATAGCAAGAGGAGGGTTTCTGTTGAAGGGTTTTCTTCCTCCCAATCAGTTGTTTCCAGCACATGGTGAGGAACTGTAGACAAACAACGTCAGAGCGGAAATGGTGTCAACAGAAGCCGGGCAGCCAGGCAGGCAGACAAACAGAGGCTTTGCAGGTTACTGGTGTCTGAGGCAGAACCAGCGACTGAATATCGGCAGCTCAGAGAGAGGAGAGAGAGAGAGAGGTCGAGAGGCCAGCGGTGCCAACTCATCCCCGTCTGGGACTGGACGGAGTTCTGCACCAAGGTAGGCTCAGGGCATCATTGACATTAATGTTTAACATCAGCACCAGGTCACTTGACATCTGCAGGTTTGTGGAGTCCTGTAGCTTACAACAATAACAACAACAACAACAACTTGTATCTTTGCAGCGCCCGTGTTGTGGGGTACAGTCCCGGAGAGTTTGATAGTGGCGGAGCGGGGGTAGAGGGTGAGGGCATGGGGGTGGGGTGGGGGTGGTGACCGTCAACGCCATCAAAAAGGAAAGAGTTTTAGTGAGGATCTGAAGTGGGGGCGGGAGGGGACGAGGCGGAGGGAATGAGGCCGAGAATTTGGGGCTCAGTGACTGAAGGCACCGCCACTGACAGTGGAGCGAAGGGCCCGAGGGACACATTGGAGGCCGGAGCCACACACACCTGGAGGCAGCGGGTGGCGGTGGTGGCGGTGGAGCGGATGGCCGGGTGGGGGGTGGAGGTTGGAGAGTGCAGTGAGCAGGTCGCAGATTTGGGGAGGAGCGATGGAATGAAGTGATTCCGAAACGAGAGAGAGGATCTTGAAATCGAAACTGAAAGCTCAGGGGTTAGACACTCGCCTCACAATCGAGAAGACGTGGTATCGATTCCCGGGAATGGTAACACTTTCGGCAAGTTTATTTTACTACACACTCCCCTCCAGCACCGTCCCACAAAATCAGTTATGATACACTGCGGAGATAATGAACGCATAGCACCCACATCTGATGAAAAATGGGGAACTTCTCCAAGTCCATCCTTCACTCACAAACGTTTTACTGTCAGTGAGATCGCTTTCTGTCTGTAATAATTCCTTTTCTCTCTGTGTGTCTGTCGTTATCTTCCTCTGATTGTGGTGTATGTAAGTGTATGTCTCTCCCTCTCTCTGTATCTCTCTCTGTGTCTCACTCTCTGCGTGTCTCTCACTCTGCCTTTGTGTGTCTGTACAACTCTGTGAGTGTGTGTGTAGAGAAACATAGCTCTCTCTGCGTCTGTATGTTTAGCGGTATCTCTCATTCCGGGTCGTGTATCGGTATCTGTATCCCTCTTTGAGTCCCTCTGTGTGTCTGCTTATCTCTCTCTGATTTCTGGGTTTGTCTTCGTATCACTCTTTGTGTTTATATCTCGCTTTATCTCTGTGTGTGTGTGTGTGTGTTTCTGTGTCAGTATCTCCCTTTCTCTGTCTGTGTGTTTCTGTCTGTGTCTCCATCTATGTCTGTGTGTCTCTGTGTTCCAGTCAGCGACTGGTTAATGAGTCTCACTGAGGCCCCGAGAGGAATTGCTGTGTTTGAGGAAACGCTGCTGTTTCTGTGTTAATAAATTTGCAAAATGCAGGTCAGGGCTGTGTGGGTAACGTCGCGATTTACTGAACAATACCACATGGTTTTGTGTCTCAAAATAACAGGATGTATACCAAATTCACATTCTCAACCGTGCTATTGTCAGTGAAACAAACGGCCCCGGTTTGAGCTGTCGCTGTGTGTTGATGTTGTATTTGAGCTGTGTTTGATTTCCATGTTGTTTTTGCCCTTTGCTCTCGTGTTGTGACTGTCAGCAGCAAAGAGAAACAAGAGGCTGTGAGTTCAGCTCTGCACATCCCCTGGGGTTAGTTACCCAGCACCTGGTCTCCTGTATTTCTGTACAGTGAGTTAGATGCAGAACAAAAAGCCGGAGCTTTAGATGATGACTGAAAACCCTCTGACTTCTCACTGAGGCCATTTAGTAAATCTATGACTCAGTGCCTTTTAGTAAATAAATCTAAGTCTGCTTAAATCCTGAATGTGACACAGTAACAGACATAGAAACAGCCGCTTGAGCCTGTTCACACATTAAATAAGATCACGTCTGTTCTGTACCTGAATTCCAGGTACCTGTCCTTTGCCCCTAATCCCATTAATACTTGACAAATACTTAACTGCCTAATTTTAAAAATCTGAGTGGATCCAGCCATAATCCACAGTGTTTTGTGTGTCTGAGTTTGTGTGAGAGAGAGTAAGAGTGAGAGAGAGATAGAGAGAGAGAGAGAGCCTTTGGGTGACAAACTGTCTCCCGATCTCATTCCTCAATGGACTTGCTCTGATTTTCAGATTATGCCCTTCTTCTGGATTCCAAACCAGTGAGAAAAGTTTCTCTGTATCTACGTTATCGAACGAATTCCTTATTTTAACAACAAAAACAACAACAAGATTCCATTTATAGAGCGCCTTTCACGTCGGGAGGACGTCCCAAGGCGCTGGACAGTTGGGTCAGGACCCGAGCAGGGTGGAAATAGTCAGGGTGAAGCGAGGGAAGGGAGTCAGCGAGGAAGGGGTAATGGTCAGGGGGAGGGGAGGGAGGGAGCGAGGAGGGGTATAGAGTCGAGAAGGGAGCTGAAGGCACGGTCAAAGAGAAAGGTTTGAGATCGGCCTCGAAAGAGGAAAGGGAGGAAGTGGTGAAAGCATTGGGGGTGGAGTTCCAGAGCAGAGGGGCTGAGAGGCTGAAGGCCCAGCCACCGATGGTAGGGCGGTTGGACCGGGGGATGTGGAGCAGACCGGAGCCAGAGCAACGGAGGTTACGTGCAGGTAAGTAAGGGGATAGTAGGTCAGAGAGGTAGGAGGGAGCGAGGCCGTGAATGGCCTTGTAGGTGAAAGTGAGGATCTTGAATTCGATTCTTTGGGGGATTTTCAACCACCTCAATATGATCAGCCCTGAACATTCTGAACTTAAGAGAATAGAGACCAAGTTAATGCAACTTGTCCTTGTTATTCAGCATTTTAAGCCCTTGTATCATTCTCGTCAATCTTCTCTGAACGCCCTCCAGATCCACGATCTCCTTCCTGAGGTGAGGGACCCAAAACTGAACACAGTCTGCAGATGGGCAAGAACAAGGCTCTATATAGTTGAAGAAACATTTCCTATCCTTTATATTCTAGCCCCTTGAGATGAAGACCAATATGGTCCCGTAATTCATTGGTTATAGCTCTCGCCTCACAGGCGAGAGACCTGGGATCAATTCCCACAAGGGCGAAATGTTGGGCAAGTTTCTTTACTCCACAGTCACGCCTCTGTTAACCGAGCAGTATGTGTGAACCGGTTTGTTATTCGATTGGCAGATCGCTTTACTGAGATAATAAACCCTGAAATGACAAAAAAAAAAAATTTGTCAATCAATCCACGTCTATGGGACGTTTTCCCCACAAACATACAGTCAATTCACTTTACAGAATATACTGTGAAACGATTTGAGATGAATCGAAGATGTGATAAGGCGCTGTATCAAAAGCAAGGATTATTAATTTTATTATTATTATTATTGTTATTATTATTATATAATATGCTATTAGTCTCTTTAATAACCTTTTGCCCCTTTGAGCATCACAGTCATCCTGACGTTATTCATACATTTTAATTTATTGCAGGATAAACATCATACATGAGAAAGAAGGACAGGGCATTGGCAATGCTAACCTAGTGTCGTTGCCTGAGAGATCACGTCTGGATTCCATGTTAGCCTTCTAATAATTCTTCTCCAAGAAACATTAATAAGACTTAACTTCCATCGCAAAACTTAGCAACAGCTTCACTGCACTTCGCATCGATGAAACGCGTTTTGGGAAAACAGTCTGGAAAGAGGAAACAAAGCTCAGAAACCCGGAGACTCGACAAACCTAATAAATCAACAAAATGGACACCTTCACCTCAACTGAGCACATCCACATCTGGTGGGACTCAAAGAGCGACAACATCTGGAGTTACCCAACTACATGGTGATACGGTTGCAGATCCGAAGAAGTGTTCCACTACATTGGGTGAGTTGATTGAGATGGTTTCCATGGAGAGTGAACCAGACCCCAGAGCAGAGGGCAATACAGTGGGCTGTGGTGTGGGTCATACACCGAGCAACTCACCAAAAGCCAATGCCTTCTCTTTACCTGATTTTCAGGAAAGTCTCAATGAGATGGAAACGGACAAAGGTAAATATCGTTATTGAGTATTTTACACACAAACGAACCTATCTTTATATCGCATTATTTGCGGAGGATAAAATTGCGAGGCTACGGTGAGAGAGCGGGGAGTGTGATTAATTTGGTGAGCTTTTTCAATAGCTGGAACCGGCAAATTCGGTCGAATGGCCTCCTTCTTTGCTGTATAATTGTATAATTCTATTCTGTGTTTCTCAGCCTTGGAAACAGGGAGAGAAACCAGTGACTGTTTGGGTCGAGCAAACTCCCAATTTGTGAAATGGAAGATGAGGTCTATTTTGGACTGCTTCATGAACCAAGTCACTGGTGATGGCAGACGAGCCTGGCACATGGGCAGTTCAGGCAGTGACAAACCAGCCAGGCACATGGGCAGGTCAGGCAGTGACAAACCAGCCTGGCACATGGGCAGGTGAGGCCGTGACAGAGCAGCCTGGCACATGGGCATGTTAGGCAGTGACAGAACAGCCTGGCACATGGGCATGTTAGGCAGTGACAGAACAGCCTGACACATTGCCACATCAGGCAATGACAGACCATCCTGGCATATGGGCATGTCAAGCAGTGACAGAGCATCCTGGCACATGGGCAGGTCAGGAATTGACAGATCATCCTGGCACATGGGCAGGTCAGGCAGTGGCAGACCATCCTGGCATATGGGCACGTCTGGCAGTGACAGAGCAGCCTGGCACATTGGGCAGATCAGGCAGTGACAGACCAGCCTGGTGCATGGGCATGTCAATCAGTGATAAACCAGTCCTGAGTAATGGAAGCTTCCAAATCAGCTGCTTTTAACGCTGTAGCCTAAGCCCTTATTGGTAGAGAGGTTCTAGTGGGACAAGCAATGGAGGCTTGCGCTTGAGAGCTCTCAATGGGATTAGCTGTGCGGGTTTATGTTGTGATACTCTAGCAGTTACCCGCATCAGACACTCTTGGGACCCCAAGAAGATGCTCTTAGCAATCTGCGAACCATGGCACTGAATAACAATTCATTCCAGACAAAGGGATGTGTCATTGGTATAACCAAAATAAACACAATGATACTAATACGAATAGTCCTTGATTTGATGCAGCTCCTTATCACGTAATAATAATCATACTTATTGTGGCCTTCCATGTCAGGAAAACATCCCGAAGTGAATGATATGAGGTCCAAGTCCTGCTGTGGGGCTCCAATCCGCAAGCTCCTGACTCTGGCATGAATACGGTCAACTTCAAATATTTAATAGTGGTGTTAAATTGCTGATGGCTTTTGATAGAGCAGAGAGGGAGAAAGAGTGGCCATTGGCGGGTAGGTCGGTATCCAGGGGAACAGATTTAACGAAATTGGTAAGAGAATGAGAGGGGATTCCTGCAGGGATTGTCAGGCTGGTCAATGAGTTCAAAATTCTGATACGGGGCTTGAACCCACAAGTTTCTGCCTCAGGAGTGAGAGTGATACTAACTGCGCCAGGCTGACATCTGTCTGTCGGAGATTGGCTACTATGTCATGCTTTAAACCAATGGAGTTTGGTTTATTCTGGAATATTGGGACCATAATTATGGCAGTATTTCTTGAAATATGTTTCAGGGAATAAACTCATAACAATGTCCGAATAATGTTTTTATTAGTCGCTGCAGGTACAAACACCTCATTCGCTGAGACCCTGGCATTATACAACGAGCTCCAGCTGCACAGTCTGACAACGTTCTACTGGGACAGATTGGCGCAGGCCATCGAGGAAGGCGTGGGGGACATCAGTTCATGGCTGAGACACAAGAAATATTTCAGCCCGCACGAACATAAAGTAGGTTTGATTCAAATCGTGACATTTCCCTTTCATTTGTCAAAATTTCCGCTGCCTGTATTCACAGCTCATGTGCTTTTGTCACAAAATCAATAGTACAGCAAATCAACAGCTTAACCAACCAGTTAGGTTATAATGCAGGAAATGCACCAGATATTTGTTGTGACCTGTGCATCGCAGTGCAAGAGATGTCTGCACAACAAGCAAACATCGGCTTGTATTTATATAGCGCCTCTCACGCAGGGTACACTACCAGAGCGTTTGACAGTGGCAGAGGGATACGGGAGGTGAGTGTAGGCGTGGTCGCAGAGGTACCAGGGCATAAAGGGATTTGAAAGTGAGCGAGAGGATCTTGAACTCAATCCATTCGATGATTGGGAGGCAATGGAGCCTGGCGATGGCTGGGGCGATGTGGTGAGTTTAGTGTGTGAGATAAGGAGTCAGTTAAGCCTGGCGAGAGCTGCAGTAATGGTGTAAATAGTTTAGCGTGTGTGGTAGGGAACCAGTGGTGCCTGGTGAGGTTTGGGGTGATGCGGTATGGAGTTTAGGATGTGAAATAGGGTGGTAGTGGATACTGACGAGACCTGGGGTGATCGGGTACAGAACTTGGTGTGTACGATAGTGAGGTGATGGAGCCGGGCGACGGCAGGGTTGATGGGGTACAGAGTTTGGTGTCGGTGAGTATGTCGGAAGAGGAGGTTTGGATCAGTTGGAAGTTGTGGCTGGTGGACTTGGGGAGACCAGTGACGAGACATTTGATTTTTGGAGTCGAGAGGTGATGAACGCATGGACGAGGGTTTGGCTCCGTCTGTGGAAACGTATGGAGCTCTGAGGTACACCAAAGGTGACCAGGCGGGGATGAGAGAAGAAACCGATTGAGGTGCTGAGTGAAGAATGATTGTAACGTAGCACTGGAGTCAGGATACTGAGGACCAGAATCTTGAACACTATTCTCTGGGGGTTGGGGAGCCAGTGGAGCCGGGCGAGACTGGTGATGATAAGGTCATGGGACGTGATGTGGAGAGGACACGAGGTGGAGAGGTGTGGATGGTCTGCAGTTTGTGAAGGGAAGAGTTGGGAAATGTGGTATAAACCATTAATGAAACTGGGTTTGCAGGTCATTGTCAGTGTTTTCCCATCATTTCCTCTTGAATATATCAATGATTGATCTCTGCAGACACTCACTGAGCTCACCCGCATTGGGCAGAAGAGACGGAGCTCCAAACTTCTGCTCAACTTGGTGACGGAGAAAGATTCCCGGGCCCGGAGAATGATGTGGGTTTTCTTTGAGGAAATGAGGCCCATTTTGCCCAAACTGAACAAAATCATGACTGAAATCCAGGAGCAAGGTAACGTGTGAGGTTCCACTGGGATCCTATCTTTGGTCAGTGACATACTTTATTGCGATTGCATTGAGACGCCGTTCATTCAATGTAATGCCATTCACTCTATGCACACAGGTGCCACTCTAGTAAAGGTCGTGTCCAGTGGCCAAATTGTGCCACACGTCCCCAGTGAACTGACAGGTACGTGTCTTGGACAAGATTCAAACCATTCTTTCACTTAAGAAATACACCGTTTGACACTTTAACAATTTTCTTGAGGGGTCAGAGGTCAGAGGGGAGGACGGATGGGAGTGGGAGGTAGGGAGTGGTGGGAGGGGGAGAATGAATGTTGGGGGGCTGAACCTTATTGGATTCCTCAATTACTTCAGCCAATATAGCTTTGGAACGATCTTAGAGATGGCTTCTCACAAGTAATCATATGATGTCCTGAATACCTGCCGTGTGTGACTGTAGTTCACATTGTTTGCCCCTTGTTTGCCCGGTTCAGTAGCTGTTCTACTTGTCTCAGAGCAGAGGTTGTGGGTTCAAGTTTACATCAACAGGGCGAGTTGACATTCCAATGCAATGCTGGGATGTGCAGCAATGTCAGAGATGGCGTCATTGGGCATTAATCCTGTTAGGTCCTGTCTGGCCTCATCAGGTGGATATCAAAGATCCCATTGCCCTGTTTGAAAAGAGAAGGAGTTTCTCTCTCCCGTGTCCTGGCCAACAATCCCTCAAATCAGTTTACGCAATCAATTCCCAACTGTTTGTGGGACGTCGCTGTGTGGGAATTGGTTGCTGCCTTTGACCACAAAACGCAGACACTTCACTTAACATTAAATCGTGTGCAGCACTTTGCGACGTCCTGTTGACTTGAAAGGCATTACACCGACTCCAGTTATTAGTGTTTAATAATGAACTATATCTCCTGTATTTATCTGGTGATAATTTAATATTCTATTTGAAGCTGTTCAGCGATTACACAAGGAGACGTTACAGAGACAGAGTGAAAGACTGGAAGTCAAGAACATCCTGATAAACGAGAATGTAAGGACGTTTCAGCTGGTTGATCACTTCACGGAGTTGACAATCGTTTCTGATCTCCGTGACCTGGAACTGGTAGAACATGAGCTGCTGGCGAGAGGCAGAGACCACGAGGAGTGCAGACAGAAGCAACCCCGGAGAGAGCTGCAGAAAATCCGAACTGATAAATTGTTCCACAGCAGCTTCTCTGGAGGAAGCCATTTGCCTTCCTCCCAAGGGAAGCGGATCTGACTCTCCACAGGGACTTCCGCAGTAGTGAGTGGAGTGGCTGGGATTGGAAAAACAACATTGGTGCAAAAAATTGTCCATGACTGGGCCACAGGCAAAATCTATCCTCACTTTCACTTCGTATTTGTTTTCAAATTCCGAGACCTAAACAGATTTCACGACAGAACAACCCTGAGCCGTCTGATCGTGGAGCAGTATCCTTACCTCAGTGATGTTCTGGACGAGCTGTGGAAACACCCAGAGACATTGCTCTTTATATTTGATGGTTTGGATGAATTCAGGGCAACGATTGATTTCGGTGACAATCAGAGTGACACAGATCCTCAGCGCAGCTGCACAGACCCTAAATTCTACTTTAAAGTGTCTGACATTGTGCGCAGTTTAATACAGCAAAAGCTGCTGCCAGGCTGCTCAGTGTTGGTGACCAGCCGCCCCACTGCAACACATTTACTGGCAAAGGCTCAGGTCAGTGTCTGGGCTGAAATCCTGGGATTTGTGGGTGAAGACAGAAAGGAATATTTTCACAAGTTCTTTGAAGATCAGGGGATGGCGGCTGCTGTTTACAGCCACGTGGAGGAGAACGAGCTTCTGCTCACTATGTGCTACAACCCTTCCTACTGCTGGATCCTCGCTCTGACTCTGGGTCCCTTCTTTACACTGAAGCAGAGCAACAAACATCCAGTTCCCAAGACGGTCACCCAACTCTTCTCCCATTATATTTATCACATTCTAACGCATCACAGTGTCAAGATAGAAAACCTCCGTGATGTGATGCTGAAGATTGGTAACATGGCCTTCACTGGAGTCTCCCACAGAAACATTATCTTTAATACTGAAGATCTGATCAAATATGATCTTCAACTTTCGCAGTTCCTCTCTAGCTTTCTCATGGAACTTGTGGAGAGAGAGTCCTCAGAGCGCAGCGTGGTCTACGCATTCCCACACCTCTCCATCCAGGAGTTTGCAGCCGCACTCGCTCAGTTCCTGTCTCCACATCCCAGAACCATCAGGAAATGTCTGGCCCATGCTGACAGGGCGAAGAATGGTCGGTTTGAGATATTCCTGCGCTTTGTGGCAGGTCTCTCCTCCTCACGGGCAGCTCAGCCATTGGAGGAGTTTCTGGGGCCATTGGCCCATCACACAACCTCCGCGGTGATCGATTGGCTGAAAGAGAAATTTAAAGCTCAGATCAGAGACACAGACACGGTCCATGGGAAAAGGAAGCTGCTGAACACACTCCACTACCTGTTCGAGTCTCAGAATCAAGCCCTGGTACAGCTCACACTGGGCTCTGTACAGACACTGACATTTGGTGGTAGCTCTCCGAAGAAAGCATTGAGATTGACACCGATAGATTGTGTTGTGGTGTCTCAGGCCATTGGACTCTGTGACACATTAAACCTGCTGGATCTGAGCAGATGCTACATTCAGGTGGAGAGTCTCCATCGTCTGGTTCCCGCTCTGCACAAGTGTCAGCAGTTGCTGTAAGTGTATTCTTGTTTCAAACCATTTGCCAGGACTTTCCTGCCATTAAGCAGCAGTTGATGAATGCGAGAATGCTATCACACAGTAGGAGGGAATAGAGGGTAACACTAAGGTGGCCCCCACACACCATATTCCTGCCCCGGGGATTTGGGTAGTGAATGGCTGACATTCCACTTACACATCTGGCTGTCCCACACCCTGAGCCCTTGTTACATTCCCAGATTGCTGATCTTTTAGGATAGGTTCCTGATTCCCAACTGGAATACTCACTTTATTGACGAGATTGCAACATGATCTCAGTTCATACAGGACGCAGATTGCGCCAAGAGACGTCTCTCAGTGGTTCTGGTTTATTCATAGAGGAAATGGTTATCATGGCCTCCGTGTCCCTGACACACGCAAACCCTTCCAACTTCTAACCCTCTGAGCTTTGCCCCAGCTCAGCCCCCCAAGAATCACTCCCCTTAACAATGTGCTTAGGCCGGAGGCTTCCTGTGACCATTCCTCCCGGCAGCAGTGCCACCGGATGGACCAGTCAGACCTTCAACCTCTGTGCCCCCACCCTCTGGAATGCCATCTGGAGACCCTCCCAATCACCCCTCTCTTATCTCATCCCAAGCCCATCTCAAAACCTTCCTCTTCAGTCACCCTCCCACCCCTATACCCTGCCCTCCAACCCTCTTTGATTCCAATCCCCAGCTCGGGTGCAAACCACTCATTGTCCTGCATTGCGACATGCTCCCAACGTGAAAGGCACAAAAAAATGCCAATTCTTATTGCTGCCATAGAGACTGGGGGACGCTCAAATCTTCAAACGCGACTCTGTAATGTTCTGAGGCATTAGCCGACGTGAATGTCATATAAATCTCATCTCTTTTATGGGCCAGCCACGAGTTAGGAATCATGTGGGTGTTTGCCAGTTCGGGTAGGTCTGATCCTGGTCCCAGCTCTTTGGCACTTGCACCCAAAGTGAAAGGTGACTGTACATAGATGTCAGTTTATATTGTGTTGTCACACTATGTTCACTGTGTTTTTATCTCTGTCCAGGCTGAGGTACAATAAACTGGGAGTTTCTGGAATGATTCCACTTTGTGAGGCTCTGACGAAACCGGAGAGTAAAATACAGAGGCTGGAGTAAGTAACACACTGTGGAATGTGATCACATTGGAAAACCTCAGTGGCCTCCAGTGGCCATAAACACACACACAACACGGCCTCTGACAGGTCATACTCAGGGATGGTATCCTCTCTTACAACCCTGTGTTCCTCACAGTCATCAAGGCTCACAACACCCTGATCAGCCCAGATCTAGTCACACTGGAAAGGTTTCTCCACATCAGCCCTGCCCTCACCATGTGGCCAGACCTGAGGGCCTCCTCCCTCCAGGCCGAGAGTGAATGACCTGGAAGCAGATGCCTCACAGCTTTATACTCACCTATGCCCTTAGCCTCGTCAAGTCACTGGGTTCCCAACAGTCGGTAGCTGGTGTCCATCATTGGGAGGACGGGACTCCCTCAAGCTACTGGCTTATTGACCAGGTTACACACTCGCTCACTCGCTTGGCCTGTGACTCTGACAGCCTATGGCCCGGCTCCTCACGGCCTGAGGAGGAGGATGCCCTTGGCATGAGCTGGTCCCTCTATCCTGTCCTCACACCCAGGTTACTTGCACTACTATAACGGGATCCGGATACTAGCCATGGGGAAGGCGGTAAGCTGGGCCCTCGGGTTGCAAAGCCTGAGGACAAGAAGTGCAGAGGCAGTTATGGGGGTCTTGTGTTGTACTGGGTGTGTGGGGGGGTAGAGTCATTCTCCCAGTTATTGTGTCACACACGCGTATTGAGGGACTACCCAGGAAGCTCTCTCTGCCCTGGACACAGCACAGGGAAAATCTGCTGCCCTGAGGCCTGGACACAGTCACATGGGCTGGAGGAGACTTGGCTATTGAGTGGGGGAGTGAGAGTTGTGGGTCGTGATCCGGTGGAACCAGAATGGACGAGTGGCCTAGAGGTGGCAGGAGCCAACCCAGGAACCTGCAAACCTGGATTGTGTGAGAGAGAGGACGTGGTGTTTACCAACGTTACCAACCTGTGCACTCCCACCGCTTAGCGGTTACTGAACTGCTCCATGTACCCCGCCCTGCCAGCTCCACAATCAGCGGCGATACCTTCAGCCTCTCTGCCTCCACCCTGGAACTCCTTCATGGAGGCGCTCAGCCTCTTCCCTTCCATAAAGACCCTGAAACCTCGTCTCAAAACCTTCCTCTTCAGTCACCCTCCAACCCCAACACCTTACCCTTCAATCCTCTCTTATCCCACATCCCAGCACGGGAGCAAACCCCTCATTGTCCAGCCTTGGGACGTTGCCCTAATATGAAAGGGACTAAAAAAGCAATCTGTTGTTATTGTTGTTGCCACAGAGATTGGGGGCCCCTCGAAACTTCTAACCATCCCAGTGAAGGTCGGGACATTAGCCGAAATGAATCTGATATAAATCTCAGCTGTTTTATGAATCAACCACGACTTAGGAACAATGAGTATGTTTGCAAGTTCGGGTCCTATCCCAAACTGGCAAAAGTAAGTTAGAGGAGCAGTTTACAGAATGCATTTGAGATTCATTTCTAGATCAATTTGCTGAGGAACCAACCAGGGAACATGCTTAATTACATTTTGTTTCATGTGATGAGATAGAGCTAATCAGGATTCTGGAAGTTAAGGCTCCTCTGGACAGATTGAACATAATATGATGGAATTTAGCGTTAAGTTAGAGAGTGATGTAATTAAGTGCCAAGCAAGGGACTTAAATTTAATTAGCGCCCACTTTGCAGGTGTGAGAGATGATTTAGCAAAAATAGACTGGGTTCCCATTGATTGGAAGATCGCGAACGTAACACCAGTATTTAAGAAGGGTGGGAGATAGAAGAAGGGAAACTATACAACAGTCAGTCTGACATCAGCGGTAGCGAAATTCAAGTGTCCTTAATTATGAAGGTCGTAGTGGGGTACTTAGAGGACCATAACATGAATTGGCAGAGTCACCATAGCTTTGCAAAAGCGGAGTCATGTTCCGCGAATCTTTCAGAGATTTTTGAGAATGTAACTTGTCGGTTGGATAGGGGGGAATCCAGTACATGTAGTTTTTTAGATTTTCAGAATGCATTTTACAAGGTGCCACATAAAAGGCTGCGACACAAGATTAGGGCACATGGAATTAAAGGCAATATAGAAGCATGGATCGAAAAATAGCAAACGGGAAGAAAACAGAGAATAGCGATAAACGGATCCTTCTCAGATTGGTGGGATGTGATCAGTAGAGTGCCAGAATGATCAGCCTTTGGGCCTCAAATATTTACAATCTATATCAAAAATCTGGACGAGGACATAGAACTTAAAATAGGTAAATTCGCGGATGATACTAGACTAGGTGGGAAATTAAGCTCCCAGGATGACGCAAAAAAATTGCAAAGGGATATAGACAGTTTAGGTGAGAGGGCAAGAATGTGGCAGATGCAATATAATGTGGGGACGGGTGAAATTATTTACCTAGGTAGTAAAAAAACGAAATGCAGATTATTTCCTAGAAGGGGAGAAAATAGATGGTTTTAGTGTTCAGAGGGATTTGGGTGTCCTTGTACAACAGTTACAAAAAGTTGGTATGCAAGTGCATCAAGCAACTAGGAAGGCTAATGCCATGTTGGCGTTTATTGCAAAAGGATGACAATACAAGAGAGGGGCCGAACCGTCTACTCCTGCTCCTAATTCCTATGCTCCTGTGATGTGAATGAATCTGGTCCCATTGCCTTGGGCCTTGATCCCCATGTGAAAGGCGATTGTGTATAGATGTCGGTTTGTATTGTGTTGTTACATGATTTTCACTGTGTTCTGTCTCTGCGTCCAGCCTGGGGCACAATCATCTGGGAGACTCGGGAATGAAGCGACTGTGTGAGGCTCTGAGGAACAAGGAGTGTAAAATAAAGAATCTGGAGTAAGTAACAGACTGTGGGATGTGATCAGGCGGGGAAGGTTCAGTGGCCTCCAGTGGCCATAAACACACACACAATATGGCCTCTGACAGGTCACAGTCAGGGATGGTATCCTCTCTTATGCCGCTCTGTTCCTCACAGTCCTCAGGGCTCACATTAACCTGATCAGCCCAGCACTAAATACACTAGAAAGGTTTCTCCACATCAGCCCTGCCCTCACCATGTGGCCAAACCTCAGGGCCTCCTCCCTCAAGGCCGAGAGTGAATGGCCTCGAGGCAGACACCTCACAGCTTTATACGCACCTACACCCTGGAATCGTTGCCTGAAAAGTTAATGGAAGCCGATTCGCTAAAAAGATCGAAGTGTCAATTATATAATAATTTGGGACTGACAAGTTGGCAGGACTGCAGGGAGAGAGAGAGCGGATCAATGTGGTTGATCAGGGCTAAAGGGAGATGGAGAGAGAGAGAGAGAGTGCGGGGGTGTGGTGCCGACCTATGGGGAGAAAGAGAATGGAAAAATGGGGTTGATCAGGGCTGCGGGTTGAGTGAGAGCCGGGAAGTTGGGTTGACCAGGATTATGGGGATATAGACCACGGGGGAGTGGAATTGATCAGGAATTCAGATATGGGGAGAGCACGCGGAGAGTGGGGTTGATCAGGGTTACGGGGAGAGAGAGAACGGGTGAGTGCGGTTAATCAGGGCTATGCGGATAGAGCGGGGGAGGTGGTTAGACCGAGAATATGGGGAGAAAAAGAGGGAGGGGTATTGATCAGCGATATGGGTAGAGAGACAAGGGTAGAGTGGGGTTGATCAGGGCTGTGGTGAGAGAGAGAGAGAGCGAGAGAGAGCGGGAAACAGGGATGAATTGGAAGGTCTTTCCAAAGATCCGGCACAGACACCAAGGACCGAATGGCCTCCTTCTGCGCTGTACAATTCTCAGATTCTATTACTCAGTGAAGGTGAGTGTTTTTAGTTTCGGGTGTGTCTGACCCTGGTCCCAGCGACTTGGGATTCATCCCCACGTGAAAGGCAATGTCATTGTGCATTGTGTTGTTACACTATATTGACTGTGTTTCTGTCTCTGTGTCCAGGCTGGCCAGCAATCAACTGAGAGATTCAGGGTTGAAGCCACTGTGTGATGCTCTGAGGAACCCGGAGTGCAAAATACAGAGACTGGTGTAAGTAACAGACTGTGGACTTGGGGTCAGTCACTGGCTCTAAACACAGATTATTATATGCCGAGCAGGTGGGGAGAATATTAATGTTGAGATCCTAAACCCTACAAGGTCTGGCACAGTGGCAGGATTCGGAGAGTAAATCACTAGGATCAGAGATTGTCCAACTCAGCTCCTGTTAACCTTGCGAGAAACAACATTTACAGGTTGGGGGGGGGGTGGAGGTTACCAGCTGGAAACCTGAGCGAAGTTTCCAAGACAGACCTCTCTCCAACAGTGGAAGTTATGGAGGTTTAGTTGGTTAATAATAATAGTAATAATAATAGTAATAATAATAATGATAATCTTATTTGATATAGCGCTTTTCACGTCTTCTGATGTCTCAAAGCGCTTCAATCTATACTGTAAAGTGAATTGACACTTTATTTGCGGATGAATTTGTGGGGTTATAGCCCAGCAGTCACTGCACCCTCGAGCGCACACTCTGGGGAAACCTGAGCCACGAACTATGCCAATCTCCCCACTAATGCTCCAATCCTGTTCCACACTCAAGGACATTTTCAGGTGTAGATGGCAAACATGTCATACTGTCCCTGTCTCCCTCTCCCAGTATGCCCAGTGCATTTCCAGTGTCTCTGAAAGCACTCAGTGTTAGGTTTGCTCTGATTCCTGTATCTGTCTGAGTCTCTGATCTCCAGCTTGGAGAATAAATAATAATAATAACAATAGTAATAATCCTGGAGTTCGATACAGCGCCTGATGACGTCATCGAGACGTCTGAAAACGCTTCACAGAAAATACTGTAAAGGGAATTGATTGCGGCATTGGTGGGTGAAACGCAGCAGCCAACGGCGCACACCACCGTCCCAAACACAGTCGTGGGTTGAGCGACTGATTCTTTTTTCTTTTTTCAAGGAATTTGTATCCCCGGAAAAGTGATCGGCCAATTGACTAACATCCCGGTTGCTATTCACTGCTGGGAAACAGCGGCTTGTGGACCAATGTTTTGCCGGGAATCAAACCCAGGTCTCTCGCTGGCGAGGCGAGTGCTGTAACCACTGATAATGATCCCAGTGTTTGCTACGATTCCTGTTATTTTCCTGTGTCTCTGATCTCCAGGCTGGAAGATAACAAACTGACAGCGGATTGTACCGAGGAACTTGCCTCCGCTCTCAAAACAAACCGCTCACTGACAGAGCTGCATCTGAGTCACAATAATGTGGGAGATTCAGGAGTGAAGCGACTGTGTGAGGCTCTGAGGAACCCGGAGTGTAAGATACAGAGTATGGGGTAAGTAACAGACTGTGTGTGAATATAATATGTGTTATATATAGGCTGAATTCCCCCGATATCTGAGTGTGTTACTAGCAGTGGCTGATCAGTTGGTGCTAAATATTGTGTCAGGACTCGGTATGACAGTGTGAGGCCATCAGCCATCTCAGTGATCACCAACTAAACATGGATTAAACAAGGAATCTGAACCATGTAGTGGGAACAGCAGCCGTGTTGCCATGTGGCCAGGAGCAGCTTTTCCCCAGCTCACTCCAGCCAGGAAAATCATCCCCGTTTATCCCATCCCAAAGCTCCTGTCCCAGACCTGTCAATCCCTCACTCATTCCCTCCCTCCATCGCTTCCTCCGTTCATCCCTCCCTCTCTCCCTTCTTCCCTCCCCGTTCTCTCCATCCTTCCCTCTCTCCCTCCTTCCCTCCCACTTCCCACCCTTCCTCCCTTCCTCCCCCACCCCCTCACCCACTCCCTCACTCCCTCCCTCCACACGCTGGGTTCGCTAATAACATTAATAGTGTGTTTCCTCTGATCCATGTTGTCTCTGTGTCTCTGATCTCCAGGCTGTGGGTAACAACCTGAGCGATGGCTGCACTAATGATCTGGTCTCCGCTCTCAGCACCAGCCGCTCACTGAGGAAGCTCTTCCTGGAGTACAACTCCTTCACAGACATCTCCATCCCCGCTCTCCGCCGCCTCACACTGACCTGCACCAGCCTGGAGGAGATCAGGTGAGTGTTTGTGTCCGTGTTTAATGTGATCAACACACAGAGAAAGGGCGGGTATCAGAATGGGAACAGTTTGAAGGGATTTATTTATTTATTAAACTGCGACATGAACAGTTTACAGTTTGTATCATTATCCCATGGGATTATTTCCTGTTTGATGTGTTTCAGGCTGGAGGGGAATGAGTTCAGTTCAGACGGAGAGAATCAGCTGCAGTCACTGCGGGGAATCAGAGCTGAGCTGTCAGTGACAGTGTGACACTGACTGAGGCATTGACTGTCCACACAGTCTGTGTGATATGCAATATATTCTGGACGCTGTAGTGACTGATTATTAAACATATTAATCCTGATTCCTCTCCCATCCCTGCTCTGGGGAACGTCATTATCAAATCAACCCTCACACACACCTGCCCCCGGGCTCTCCTTTCTTTTCTTTTTTTGTCCCTCACATTCTCTCTCTTTCTCTCTCACACACTCAGTCTCTCGCTCCCTCTCTCTCACACACACACAGTCTCTCTCTCTTACTTCCTCTCTCTCCCTCTCACCAGCGAATCACACAATCACTACACTTGATAATATATTCACTTTCACAGTCTCTCTCTGTTTCGGTCTCTCTCTCTCACACAGTCTCTCTTTATCTGAGTCACGGCCAATCTCTGTCTCTCCCACAAGGAACAGTCACTACACCTCAACCTGTATCTCAGTGTCTCTCTATCTCACTCTCACAGTCTCTCAGTCTCTCTCTCTCTCTCTCTCACTCTCAATCTCTCTCTATTTCTCCCACAAAACACATTCACTACAGTTTTTGATATATTCTCTCTCACAGTCTCTCTCTCTCTTTCTCTCAGTCTGCTTCTCTCTCCATCTCTCACAATCTCTATCCATTTCTCCCTCTTTCAGTATCTCTCTGTCTTTCCCAAGAAAACACAGTCACTACATGTTATAAATATTTGCTGTCAGTCTCTCTCTCTCAGTCTCTCTCCTGCTGTCTATTTATCTCTCTCTGTCTCTGCCTCAGTCGCTCTCTGCCTGTCCCACAAAACACACAGTCACTACACTTTATGATATATTCTCGATTACAGTCTCTCACTCAGTATCTCCCTCACACACTGTCACACGCTTTCTCTCTCTCTCCATCTTTCTCTTTCGCTCACTCCTACGCTTTTGCTCTCACACTCTCTCTCTCTCTCTCTCTCTCTCAGGTTCTTTCACATAATCACTCTGACACGCATTCTTTGTCTCTTTTTTGACTTTCAAGCGCTCTCACTCAATCTCTATCTCATTCACTCTCACACTCTCACACACACAAAAGCACAGACAAACAAACAGACGCACTAAAACACAGACACACAGACATGAGATGGGTTATTAACTCCCCAGATCGCCAAGCTTTTAAGTGCATCAGTGGAAAGCATTCACAATTCTGCATTGATATCAAATATATCCATGCGATTTCGCATTAACTTTGTATTATAATAATAAGCGCCTCTCTGGGTAAAACAAGGGAAACAGGTTTGCAAAATCCCCGCATTCCAGTGACTAAAGTTGAAGAATATTCAACTCAATTTTTGCAATTATATCAAATATAACAACGTGTTTTTGCATTAATTTTGTATTTTTATTTTAACCCCAGTGTGTGAAAGAGACAGAGAGAGTGTGTGTGAGAGAGAGTGTGTGAGAGAGTGTGTGAGAGAGAAAGTGTGAGAGAGAGAGAAAGAGAGTGCGAGAGAGAGAGAGCGTGTGTAAGAGAGTGTGTGTATGAGAGATAGAGAGTGTGAGTGAGAGAGACAGAGAGAGAGTGAGAGAGAAAGTGTGTGTGAGAGAGAGTGTGAGAGAGAAATAGAGAGAGTGTGAGAGAGCGAGAGATAGAGAGAGTGATAGAGAGAGTGTGTGAGAGAGATAGCGAGTGTATGAGAGAGAGAGAAAGAGAGAGAGAGAGTGCGTGTCTGAGGGAGAGAGAGAGAGAGAGAGAGAAAGATAGTGTGCAAGAGAGAGTGTGTATGTGAGAGAGAGAGATAGCGAAAGTGTGAGAAGAGAGAGAGAGAATGTGAGTGAGCGAGAGATAGAGAGAGTGTGAGTGAGAGAGAGAGAGTGAGAGAGAGAGAGAGAGAGAGACAGAGAGATCACAGAGAGCCTGAGCGATTGACCTTGGCTGAGCGATTGCATGATAGAGTTCCAGAGATGGAGTAGAGTTGATGGAAATTTTTCCACCGATCAGGCAATGGGACATTTAGTAAACCTCTGCGAGCGTGTACAGAGCAGTTGGTGGGCTAGAGTTCAAGAAGGTCAAAGAGACACAGTGGGCGAGCCATGAAGAGATGGAAAGAAGAGGAAAAGGGTCTGAATTTGACCTGTATAGAAGCAAACAAGGCAGTGTATTTAAAGGTAAGCTACGCAGTCGCAGATGGTTAAACTCCAGCAATAATTCCCCACCCACAACCTCACTGCCATTGAGTTCCATACGATTTTACACCTGGCAATTTGTGCCTAATGCTCTCAGGGATGAGGGTAAAGTGAAGTACTGTAGTTCAGTGGTTAGAGTACTCGCTTGGCAGGCGAGAGACCTGGGTTCGTTTCCGGCAAGGTGAAACCTTGAGCAAGTTTCCATACTCCACACGCCTGATAATAATCTCTCAACTAAAAAAAAATCAATTGCTGACTTCAATCCATGGTTACGTGCGGGACACTGCAGTGTAATTGGCTGTGGCTTTCCACCCACAAATATACAATCAAATCACTTTGCAATCTAGTCTGTGAAACGCTTTGAGACATCCAGAAGAAGAGAAAAGCGCTGTACAAAATGCAAGGGCTATCGTGATTAATATTAATGCAAATGTGCTTCTAGGGAGACTGTGCACATTCCATTCTCTAGACAGAGTTTCGATGTGTCGATGTCAAACCTCAAGCGTTCAGTCTTGTTTGGAGACTCTTAAGTAACGTGATGGGTTTCCAGATGTGTCAGTCACACGGACACCAAATTAAGTGCTGTGCAATGTGGAGCCTGAGGTTCAAGTTGATGAAGATAACGATACGCATGCGGAACCTGGTGCAGAAGCGACAAAACCTGCAGAGTTTTGTTGGTTAGCAGTTTGTGCAGGGTGTGGGTAGGGGATTACTATAGTTTATACTAATAAGCAAAACCCTTGCATTTGATATAAGGCCTTACTATGTCGATGAGATGTCTGAAAGCAGAACACAATATACTGCAAAGTGAATTGACTATTTATTCTGTGGGCGAAACATGGCAGCCAATTGCACACAACAGTGTCCCACAAACAGTCGTGATTTGATGACCAATTTATTTTTAACAATAAGAACAATTTGGATTTATGTGGCGACCTCCACGCCAGACGGCGTCTCAGATCGCTTCATAGTAACGGATCCCGGGGACGAGCAAGGGGGAGGGGGGGTGGGGAATGTGACCAAAGGCGCGGTCGAAAGGAAAGGTCTTCAAGCGATACCTGAATATAAGGGGGGTGCAGAGGAGCGGATGGATTTGAAGACATTTGTGAGGATCTTGAAGTCGATCCTCTCAGGGACAGGAGTCAGTGCAGTCTGGCCAGGACTGGGGGTTTCGTGGAGCGAGTTTGGTGCGCGTAAGAATGTGGGCGGCAGAGATTTGGATGACCTCGATTTTATGAATGGTAATGTAGGGGAGACCGGCGAGGAGCATTTCAATAGTCCAAACGAGAGATGACAAAGGCGTGGACCAGAGTTTTTGCGGCTTTTGGAGTGAGCTATTGGAGGAGACGGGCGATGGTCGGAGATATTATTATTTAAGAAGTTATTACTCTTGCAAAGCGTTCTGACAATTCACAAACTTGACTCCCATCAGCGCTCCTATGTCTCGGGCGATCTCAGCACCTCCCTGGATATCCTCTGTATCTTACGGAGCCAAAACGAAACTTCAGCGACACGTTCGACACTCAAATGTCCTTCATAACCCTCACCCATGCTATGACCTGCTCCGCCTTTCCCCACCTCCATAACATTGCACGGCTCCACCATTTTCTCACACCGCAGGCTGATCAGATGCCTTTATAAGCATTCATAACATCCAGGCTCGACTTCGCAAACACCATGCTTGTCAGCTTCTCCATTTCCTCCCTCTCATAGGCTGTAGATCATTTAGGCCTCTGCAACTCCTGTCCTCTCCCGCACCCGTGCTCCATCCACCCTCCACTCCCATCGCCCCCAACCTAGCTTGACTCCACTGTCTTCCTATGAGACAGAGAATAGCTTTCCATAGTTCGGTCCTCACCTTCGAAGCCCTCCATGGCCTTGCTCTCCCCTACATCTGCGACTTTCTACGCCTACATACCTGTCCGCTAAACTCCCTCTCAGCGCGCTTCGGTGGCTTGTCGTCCCCCGCCTCCCCCCTCCTCCTCTCACCTTTCCTCCTCTCCTTGAAAACCCGCCTCAAAATCCTCTTCTTCGACGCTGTCGTGATCCCGTCTCATACCTGAAATTGTTGATATATGTTAAACCACGGAGTCGAAAGCACTGTTTTAATTAGTTGAGTTAAAAACGCTTAGGTAAGCACGAAGAATATCACCATCTCTTGCTTTTTTAAAGGTGGAGTTTGTTGAAGATTTTTTTTCATAGCACAATCATGTTATTGTTAAAGATGTTATCTATAACAAATCAAGTTTTTAACAACGTTGCAGTTTATGGCCCGAGGAAGACGTCTTTCCACAACACGGGCAATAACATTTCTGCCGGTGTGAGTTAATGGTTCCCAGGACATGATCGTGGAAAGATATTGCATTCTCATCCTGACTATGACAAAAAAAGATTATAAAACATGTATGGTTTGACTATATATTTCTCAGCCTAGGACATAACATATCGTTCGCCTTGCTGATACCCCACACGTAATCCTAACCTCCCTAATCCAGCACCGCACCTCAGCTCCGCAACATTGATTTTCCAAAGCCTTGGGACTTCGCCTCAATGCGAAAGGCAATATACAAATGTAATTTTGTTTTTTGCTTCCATTGGTTTCTTGGGGATCTTGGAGAGACTGACATTCACAGAATGTTACTGCATTTTTCTCAAAGTCTATTTAAACTTTCGTCACTAGTTAACGAAAGGAGAATAACAAAAAACAACCGTACGATTCATAGATATGATTTTCATAAAACAAGCAACATAAAATGAAATGAATATGTTGATCTGAACAAGTAAAATGTAGGTCAAAGTTTTCTCAGATATAACCAACCTTAATTGCTTGATTGGCTTGAACACTACCACTCACAATGCTGAATCAGCCGCTCATAAAAGGCAGAATGTATCTCACCCGCGGTTTGATGACTTAATGGAAACAGATAGAAATAATTACAAACCAAAG